TCGCTCTTTCCGAGTTAGCTACCACTATGGACAACGACGACACGAAAAGGAAATGAATGGAAGATCTGCCGAGATCCGCACTACCCGTGATGGAGAGCAACCATGTGTAAAAGCAAGCTCAAAGTTCGGAGCACCGTATATTTAGGTTAGTAAACGCTAATGGGTTTTTTGGAGAGGATGACATTGGATGATCAATGAAGTTTTTCTTGATGTGTAGGTTTCATATGTTAATCATAGTGATTGATTGAAATCTCACCAACTCTCCTTACTCTCTAGACATTGGCAAAACAAACGATCAGCTTCTTCCCTAGCAATTTGAGGATCATCGATAAGAGTATCATGTTCTACGCAGCATCGATCCACTCCTTAATAAACAAATAGTCCAAAGTGTTTTCTATATGAAACGTAATATGCATCTTTGGGAAGAAAATAAAGCGCTTTTCTCAAATGTACCTACTGGATCGCCTGGAACCGCGATCAGATATGAGATTGCACCGCTAACTGGTCCAATACCACAATTCCAAGCATCTATCATTTCCACATGTACCAGTATTGCCAGCGAACTTATATATGAAAACATCAACCCTGAAATAATGCGAATTTAAGTTGTGGAATCGGCTCATCAATTCAAGACGTCGTACTTGGAGGAGTGACTAGACAAGTACAAAAATATAAATGCACGAATATGACTCTTCCTTTTTTATGGCTCCAAATTTTCAGTCAATGCAAATAAAGCCTCATAGTGACATCCATTCAAGTAAAATTTCCATTATTAAAAATAACATTTTCCCAATTCTTGGGTAATGAATATTTGTGGGGGTGGGGGGTATGGGCATTTGTTATGAATATGGGTATTTGTGAATGAAATTTGAGAGAAATTTTGTAAATAAAATGGTGAAGTTTGGCGAAAATAATTTGTAATTGAATTTGGTATTTTTGAAGGTAATCTGACGATGCAATGTCAGCAAAAATAGGTACGCAAGATAAAACTTCCTGGAGCGTTTTTCAACATAAGGTCGAACAACCTGAAGTAAATGCCTAGATCGACTTTTAGCAACCTCGGAATAGTTGGAATAAATCACTAGTTTCTTCTGTTGATCAGTTTCGAGGTTTAATTATACTGAATATCAGTGACGCAGTACAATAATACAGTGTAGCAATGTGGCACGGACAATGCAATCATCCTACACTGGTTAGTTTCGGCGAAAATCGCCTTCCTGAGAGCTTGAAAAGGATAGATTGATGCGCAGTTCACTCAGTCAAAACCTCCATAACGTGAGCAGAAAACGTAAGGAAAAAATTTCGGATAGCATAGCAACAAGCTTCATTTTTAAGCACTCACCGCTCGCATCTTTTAGGTTATTCAGTTATTCATTTGAGACCTGCCGCATAGAGTCAGATCGTAATTTAGACTGTGTCTCTCTCAGGCCACGAATATTAGTTTAACGTATAGCGGCAGGTCACTGATATTCAATAAATACTGTTATTAACATTTCGGAACTGCTGAACAGAAGAAACTAGTGATAAGGGCGAGCGTTATCACGCAGTAAAATAACTTTTTCATGTCTTTCCGCCCATTCCGGCCGTTTCGTTTGCAATTCATGCTTTAATTTAATTTATGTTGTTGGTAAAGTGCTGTACTAACAGCGCCTGTCACCAGAATTCTAGAGCTCGTAGTAGAAGACTTCATTCCGATCCCACCAAATGCACACCTAACCTTCTTTCCGTGAAAAGTCAGTCTTACAATTGGTTACGCAGATTGTACGGGGTCGATCTATGATCGTTTGCGCTTCTGAATGTCAAAGTCCACTTTTCGTCTCCGTTCACTATGCGATGCAAAAAATCTTCCTTTTGTCAGCAGCAGTTTTCGCTAAATCAAACATGAAAAACAAAGCCTTCCGCAATTGGCGTTTTTCGGGTACAAAAGTCATCATCTTCAAAGTTCTGTGAAGACCACTATAAAAATATTTGCATACAAAAGATTTGAATAAATAGCATTTCAAGTGCATTTTCAAGCAAGAAAACTTGCATATATTTATTTACTATTATAAAAGCATAAAGTAATTAAGCAGCGCAGTCATATTTGTACGCCTAAACACTATCGATACTGTCTTTTGCCATTGACGCAAGAACAACTATTAAGTGAAACCAGAGAAGAGCTGAAAGAAAGTCGGTGACAGTCATTGAACTATCAAACATTCGACAGCCTTCAAGCGCTTGCATGACTGTTTATGTGAGTCGCAAAACCTTACAACATAGCCTCACACAGTAAGAATGGCTGCTTAAGTTTGGAATAAGTGTACCCGACGTCTATGTATTATATGGAAACGAGCATGTTGGCTAATGGGTATATCACTGTGCTCACGTTTAAAATATCTAGATATAAAACTTTAACTTGAGTAAAGTACTTCATCAAGCATAGAAAGGAAACAATGGCACTGAGGAAATAAATCTAAAGAAAAGTAATGACCCTCGTACAGGATGTAAAGTATCACCAAATACGAGATGCGTCTGAAGGAAAACAGATGGGCATTAGTAGTTAATGACTTGAATCCTTAGGATGTTATACGCGCAGCAGGGCCGCCACCGACCAGATGGTCGAAGTTCTTTTTCGAAGAACATGGAAGAAAGATACCACGCTGAGTGAGTGAGCAGAATCATTTGTTCTTGCACGAGACGGAGACTGTTAATGTCGACATTGATCGCACAAATTTCTTCAAGTGTTTTGGATACATTTCAATAGCTAGAGGTAAAGAACGTGTTGTAAGGCTATCTAGTCACACGTCACATTGCCTCCTAATTCATGGTGATTTCTCAGCCTAAGGGGAGCGCAATCCTCATCTTGTGAGATACCATGAAACTTCTTTCCATCAAAAATGGGCAGCAAAAAACAGCACAATGAATGCTTTCTAAGAAACTGTTTGCCATGCAGTCAGGTAGGATCTGAAATTACCTCTACCTCATCATGAAGGCATTTGGCTAAGCCGACCAAGAGAATTGATGGAAGTCTTTCTATGTCAAAGTCGTTCGAAATGGTAGTCACCAGGCATATTAAAAGTCTTATCATCCTATCAAAAATATTCTATAAATCTTGGTCTAGATTATAGTAGCATAACATTCCACGGCTTTTCGCACTTTTCAATGAATAAGTACTATTATAAAACAGAGTTTACGAAGTGCACATGTTGAGAAACAGTCCAGGGAACGTTCCATCGCCTGACAACATCTGTTTACACAACAAAACATCGAATTTGTTTGGGATTTCCAGCCTCTTTAACAAAATCCTGGCAGTGTGAACACACAAGGTGAGTATCAACCCACCAACCAAGGTTACCTTTGAGACAGAAATCATCTTCTGAAGGAACTTTGCGTAGCCAACTAACTGGACTGATGTTCACTTCAGCAGTAAATCACACCACATGCTTTTGCGGTTTTCTTGAGCCGAGAAAAAAAAGAGAAACAACTCGTCTAAAAAATAGTGTTTTGTAAAACGGTAAGTGTGGAGAATTTTTTTTTCATAAACTGGTACATAATCTTTACAGAGTGAGCCAGCGAAAGATTACAAAACGAGCATCTAAACTTCATCAATGCATATTGCCGTTAAAACTAGACTCACACAGCACAAATGAGTTGAATGACGATTTGGAAATTTCCAAAAATGACTATTTGACAACGGCAACGGCAAAATGACAACGGCAAAACTCGTGTTGAGCACCATCATGGCAAACACCGTGATCAGTTTCGTTCCACAGTTTGTTTGGCTCCCAACAAATTAAACTGTTTAAAACGTGCTGCATGTAGTGAATTGCATAGAAATATCATGACATGAGTTTTTATCTTGTTGGTATTATTTCTTAATGAAAATGCGTTCGAAACTAGATACCTAGGAAGAAATAATTATCTAAGACTCACTGTTCGAGGATCAATCGTATTGTGGACATAGAAGAACACTAAAACTCTTTCGATCTTTTGATGACCATGCATACGCATGCCAATGCGTACATGTTTTCGCGTCTCGTACCGTGGTTACAGTTTTCGGTACACAGACTATCTAGAGGTCTTTTACATTCTACAAAGGTATTCTGTAAGTCCTTTTGCGTTCGATCGATAGCTTATCGGACGGAGATTTTGGAAATGGAAGGGCCTTAGTGCGCTCTCTAGATAGGCAAAATCAAATTTGCACCAAGAAATTTTTTTTTAGGACAGTGTGTGACTTGGAGAGCGTCGCTAATTGCGATAGAAGTGCAGAGATGCTTCTGCGTAGACGATCCAGCATCGCATACATATTTTGGCATCATTTCTTGACATGGAGTCCGTTGGTTCCTGATTCATAATCGAAAATAAGAGCATATCACAGCTCAATTTTGGCGCTCAGAAAAAAAAACAACTTCAAAGTGTCGACTTCAGTTTGATCACATAATGGAAGAGGAATTTTTTCTTCACACAAGAGATCTAAGTGGCTTGAGAACCTGGGAGTTTGAGCACAAACGCATGACCTATGGAAGTTGAAGAGGACGCAAGGCACTATGTGTGTGCATCAAGTATTAGAACGATAATTTCGAGAAACCAGTGCATCGTTTGAATCTTTCCTGTCCCAGGAATTGTAAGCCAAGATTCCCGTGCACGTTTGAATTCGTTCCCAGTGACAACGGTGCGAACAGTATCCGCACCGAAATGCCTGCGATCATCAGAATGTTAGTAAGAAAATTGTTATGTTTCTTTTTGAAAAAACAATTTCATCTTAGGAGAATTTATTGAGATGTTTGAAAAGCTGTCAGCCACCAACGTTTAACAGGTTTGGTCAGGTTTGCGATTTCGCTTTATGAACCCAGTTGAGCTGATAGCCACTGTTAGATCTAATATTCCGGAATTCTAGTATTTTCACAGCTTATTTCTTCTCATTTTTATGATGTCACATATATTCCTGAGAGAACTGAGTGACGGGCAAATGACTGATAGCTGACCCAGAGATATTGAAGACTGAGTGGTCGCCCAAATGTGCCTCGGTGGTGTAGTGATAGAGCCCGCGTCCCAAATAAGATGAAACGCGGGTTCGACTCCCGCCTGAGGCCATGTTTTCAAACACCACTCAATTCTCTTAGGAATATATGTAACATCATAACACTGTATAAGCAGTAGAAATGCTAGAATTTTGGGAGTATTAGAACTAACATATATGTCAAACGATATCTGTAGAATTTGAAGTTTTGCACGCTCTTGGTGTGAACAAGAACATTCATGAATCAACCAGGTTTAATAATGCAGCAGGTTTTTTTTTAACTAAAATCTCGCTTCATTAAAATGATGAATGGACATTTTTTGATGGATGATGTTTGGCACATGAGATAGGCATCGGAGTGCATTGAAACGTAATTGATGAAGTTTAGGGTCAGATTTTATACACATGCCAAGCATTTATCCATTACATTGCGACCAACTAATCATAAAACACCACTTGACAGTAAGACAAAATTTTGCTCATCTTTCTCAGTGATGACTGCTCAACCTGTAGATCTGCGGAAACTATTTGCTATGCCAGTGAGAGCGAGCATTACGATTGAAATTTGGATGATCTCAATGTCTTCTCTTCTGTGAGCATAGATTGGCACGATTTAGAGTAATTACAACTGAATTCCAAGCTTAAATTTGACAATCAACCATGAAAGCAGCGAGAGAAAAATCATAATCGTGCTTCAATAGTTAGAACAATAGATAAAATTCCCAATTTCACACTCAAAAGCGAGTCTATCAATTGTTATGGGATCATCAATAAACATTACTTCTCTCTCAATGCACAAGCACTAGTTATGGTCATCAACAAGACTTCCAGCGAACAATTTGATGACTATTACTTTTTGATATTTGTCAAAAATCGATTGAATATAAACCTCGGCATTCATCAAAAGAGCGTTATCCTCAGCAACATCAATTGTCGAAGTGTAGAAATATGATCGTGTTTTGCTCAAGAAAAATATCAACTCTGCCCAGGTCCTATGCCGATTGAGGGCACGACTCACCAAAGTAACCTTGTAAAAAGGATTTGCCGGTATAAATAATCTGAAAAACTTTTTCAGTGAAATTGGTTGATCAATAAGTGTTGAAGTAGAAGCGCTCTCATAACTTATGGCACAATGGAAGTGCTTAATATGAGCAGAATGAACCATTTTAGATGGTGTACATTCAGCTGAGTTTGAGTGAATGGAAGAGAGAGAGAGATAAAGATAGAGAGAACGAGAGAATGAGCGAAACAGAGAGAGAAAGAGGGAAAGAGGGTGGGAAAGGGAGAGGACACTTGGTGAAACAATGTTTGAACATCACGCACTTAAAACTGTTCGGAGGCAAGAACGACATGACAGATAGGATTTGCATAAGTTGCCACTAGAGTGTGAGTATTCAGCAGAGAGAAAATAATAATTTAATGACATCGAAAACATTACTCACCATATCCAGTCTTCCGAATGATTTACTGAACCCAATAAGTACTGATCCGTAACAAAAACGTTAAGGCACGCAGTTGCTCTTCCAAAAAAAAAAAAAGAAATTGTTTTACCAATTAGAATTATTATTTCTTGTTTGCTTATATCGAAGATATTGAGCATCATAGTAATCGTATCATTTTTCGCATGTGATCCTAGCAAGTTTATCTTTGTGAGAGAATACTTACAACCCTCAAGTGAGCCCCAGGGATTCGTAGGGTGATGAAGGGTACTCTCACGAATATCTCATCGACTTTACTCCGATTTGACGTGGAGCATTTGTGTTCAAAACAATTTCGAATCATCTCGAACGATTTTCATGGCTGCTCGATTGTATGCTTTTGTGGGACGATACAATCGTCATTAAGTTAAGTACACCTAGGAATTGATGCAACATAAAATTACATACGGAAGGTATAAATCAGCCTGACGCAACAAAACCTGGTATCGGATCCAGTGAATCCACCTGCCCGCCACAACAAGCACATGATCATTTTTGTGCAGCAGATATGAAGGCAGGTCACGAAACGAAATTTTGATAAAAATTGAGCCTTTCATGGAAATATTCTTCGAAAAAGCTCAAAGGAATGAAACTCGTGTCATTTCCATGTACTCTCTTCCGTTTCCGATGTTTTACAAACGATAAACCTACTCGAAGAATATTTCATGAAAATCACATTCTAATCAACTTCGGAATTTTCTTTGATAATGTACACATACTGAACCATTGTCTTCTTTTCAAGTTTTTTGAGAATTTCGGCATAAATCCTACACCTCGAAGCTGACAATCTATCTGAGAACATCAATGGTGTTCAGGTCCTTCAGCGAGGTAAACCGCAACCATTGCTGTACGATGTCCTCAAAGCCAAATATCGAGCTAATTTCCATTACTTATCGTCTTGAAGTAACTCTTGAATTCAAAAAAAATTTGTTGGGACTGTGTGAACACAAAGAATGAGTGATATTCGGTAGTTTTTATGCCCGTTTCAACCTGAATATGAGCTCCAGACCTATTAAAATGCAAGTGCCTTTGAATCCAATATGCTTCATGCACTTCCTTGAACCGCTTTTAGGTTCTTCCTGCTCAAGAGGAAATTAATCAAAAACCGATCTCATTTAATGGAGAAGAACTTTTCACAGGAGTGTTAGCAACCACTCGAAAGTTGAGACTTCAGGCTACATCCCCATATCGTCCGTTTTTCAAAATACTTCTTTATAGCGCTGTAAAACTCAAAATGAGACCGCGTCATAAAACTACGTGTTTTTTTCTTATCTCGCTTATATTTCTCTGAACAACACTCCTTCCTTATAGTGTTAGTATCCGAGCTATAGCAGTATCTTTGAAAAACTCATAAATGAGATTGCTCTTCCTAAGTTCTTTTGATACTTTGATTTCCTCCGGTCTTTTAATTTGTGTTTAAGTCTCGTCGTAGAGAGCTCTTTCTTTGGGCTTTCAGTAACCATCTGATAGCGTAATATGTCCTAATTCTGGTGATATGATTCTTTTCTGAAAATACGGTCTAGCAGAGAAAATTAGACGAGTTCTTCATTTTTTACAACGTTAATTCCCCGCTACACGACAAGGCGAAGGCTGTGGCAGGGGGGTTTCATGGTCGCAGCGAGGCGGAACGATAGATTTTTGTTAAACAATTGGGTATTTGTCCTCAGCTTTAGAAGAAAGTTTATACAAAACGATTGACTAACATACTCTACACATTGATATGCTTTCCGGCTTCCAGCGAATTATGCACATGATAAAAATGAAAGCGAAATGCGGGTGTGAAACATAATTATTAACCTGAGGCTACAGCGTTATAAAAAGGTGGTTTGAGAAATCGGTGACTGCGGCGGTAGTTTGAAGTCACATCTTTCGAATGATTACTAACACTCCTATAAAGGTCTCCTCCTCAGGGAATGACATTATTATTTCATTCATTCCCTCCTAATCAGAAAGAACCAGTTTTCACAGTGTTTTTTCACTGTGAATATCCTAGTGCTCTGCTCATAGTTTGTTTACTCGTCTTCTTCTTGAAAGCGGTGGATTACTGGTTAAGCTCATCTCTTTGCAGTTTGGAGTAGAGCAGGTGAATCTTTGTTCACTGCCGGAGAGTGTTTGGGCGTGGGGGATTCAACTCCATGGGCGTCGTGACGAGCACCACAGTCACTCGGCCACGGCACCCTGCGAATGTGGTGTACACATAAACAAAATGATGAAGAAGGAACCAAAGTACTTTATTGACTCCATATTTTATTTCACTGATAACTCGATGTAGTTTCTCAAATCTTCAGATTCAGTAAACATTAACCTAGTTTTTCGCACACCATCGTGTCATCAATTTTATAAACCACACTAGGCTGCAGTCGGAAGCAGTGTCGCTGAAACTGGAATATACTAGGACCGACCAAAAGTAAAAACATTCTAGAGCGTCAAAAATCGTTATAAGCGAATCAGTGCAGCAGATTCATAACAATCCAATGAAACGTAGTGCAAGGATTCAACACGCGTCCCCGGATAGGAAGAAATCTGGGTTCAAATCCTAGCTGGAACAAATGTTTTTGCACACCACTCTACATCATTGGGATTATTATAACATCATGCCACCGCAATAGGCAATCAAATGGAATGAATTCTAACTGATTATCAAAATCCAATGAAACCTTTTTTGCATTGTCATTTTTAGCTTCCTTATACTTCTATCATCAACCTGTTTTGTCTTTAGCGTTCACGTCAAAGTCTATGTTATCGCCTTCAAAACGGCAAAGAGTGAAAAATCACATAGCCAATGTATGTGAATCGTATGACTCTTTTCATTTTCTGAAAAAGATTTCGAAGCCAAATGTCTGTGAAGCAGTGTTTGCCGACTTATAGCTTTATTTATCCAGTTATCGCTTGCGAGATCTCGCTCAAACAGATAAAACATCGTACTCAGTCTTCACTTCAAAATAAAGCAATACTCTCCAGTGAAGGCTCATTTGCATGCTCTCTCCAAATGGCAAAAGGTAACGGATGGAATCTCTTATCCGCTTTATACAGGGTGCGCAAGAAATTCTTTCAATTTTTATTTTGACGATTTTAGCATACATATGATATCTTTTCATTAATGCTTATGTTTTCATTAAAATCCTCGTCAATTTTGGCTTGGAGCCTGCTTTGTTTATTTGTCTATCTTGAGTTGTTCTCAAACTATGGATCGTAAAAATCAATGTTTCGCAGTAACTGAGTTGCACATGGTGCTCGCACACTACCGCCGTATTGGTCCCAATGACGTCTAAAAGCCGAACTACTTCACAATCGCCATATACTGCATCAACTTTTCAATGGAGCTCAGCAGAAGCCCGCAGTAGCAAAAACCTTGGGTTACAGCCATTTTGCGGCCTCAGCGATAGGCTGGGCCGGCATTTGCGCCAACGAAGAAACCCCCTTTGGTTATCACCAACAGGAACGTCTAAATCAGCCTTGACGGCTATCACCAGCAAGTTTCACGTGGCATACATCAGCCCTGGAGCACTCATATATCTTGCATAACAAATTCATCTTAAATTAGTAATAATCATTTTATAGCTTAAGACTCAGAAACATTGAAAATTTACCTGCT